AGTTTTGAAAGGCTGGATATGTTCAAGTGTTGCAAGCTCCTCCATTCACGTACCCTCACTCTGTTCCGTCCCTGCCAGATACTTGGAAGGTCTCCTGCTCCATTGTACTTCCTGTCTTCAGATGACTTACTCCAGTATCTAGTCACAATGCCAAAGTTCGTTATTTGTAAACACTGTTAAAAAAAAATGTATAAAATTGTCGTATTTTTGTTTCCTACTTTGTCAAAAAGGAGTTGGGGCAGGAAGAACTTTTCACCCCAGTGGAAGTCAGTGGAACTTTGCGGGATGGATTGTTTACTTTTGTGGAGGAAAATTGATAATTAGATGAAAGAAAGGTGTAAAACAAACAGCTCCAAGGGGGGACACAAAGTCACACAAGTCAGCATCCTCTAATTGTTCCATTATTCCAAATGCCTTTTTCATGTCGGAAGGTTGCTTCTGAGGGGGTCTCTGAAGGTTGGGGAAGCAGTTAGATTGGAAGATGTGATATGTTTCAATGGCCTTGCTCCTGAAAACTTCACTGTTGGCTGGGCTTTTCTGATGGGCTGTGTGTCTGGGTGCAAAACAAAAAAGATGTTAAGTTCCCTTTTTTTATTGATAGGAAAGAATGCATCTTCACCATTGATCCGTCAACTGCCAGGGACCTTGATGATGCCTTGTCCTGCAAACAACTTCCTGATGGTATGACATGTATCTTACAAAATACTCTCCCAGTGTTTATTTTTAGCATTTGGCACACACATTCATGTTTAATTTTCCATGCAAACCTGTTCTTCTTAAATGTGAGTAGAGTATTAAACAAGTTTTATTTTCTTCTTTTAATTGCCCTATTTCTGAAACCTCTTAAAGCAGAACTCTTTAAACTGTATTCTTAACTGTTGGCATCGGGATATGCGGAACCAACATGACTGTCATAATAAGAGTTGTAACTTTATCCGAGTTGTATCTGTCTTCTTCAGTCTTTGTGGGAGTTATATCTACTGGGCTAATAGACCTCATTTGGGTTTTAAGTTTTAGTAGAACTGCATGATCTGGGATACGCTGTACCTGGATAAAAGAACATGATACCTTTTTGAAGGTCCTTGTTGTCTGAAATTCCCTCTTGGTATTTATTGTGGGAAAACTCGTAATACTTGCATGAGCAGTTTGTACCTCTTGAACTTGCATTTCGCTCTTGCTATTTGTCTTTTAAGTTTTCTGTTTTGCCTAGTCTCGACTTGAAACTATTATACAATAGAACCTCAGAGTTGCAAACACCAGAGTTACTAACTGACCAGTCAACCACACGCTTCATTTGGAACCAGAAGTACACAATCAGGCAGCAGCAGAGATGGGAGGGGGAAAAAAGTAAATACAGTACAGTACTGTGTTAAATGTAAACTTCTAAAAAAAAATAAAGGGAAAGCAGCATTTTTCTTCTGCACAGTAAAGTTTGATAGCAGTATCAAGTCACTGTTCAGTTGTAAACTTTTGAAAGACTAGCCATCACGTCTTGTTCAGAGTTACAAACGTTTGAGTTATGTACAACCTCCATTCCCGAGGTGTTCGTAACTCTGAGGTTCTACTGTACAGTGAACTTGCAGGACAAAACATTCCATGTGCCAAATCCTGAAGATTTGACTTTTAGAGCTTCCCATTTGAATACCTGCACTGCCAAACAAGTAGTTGAGAGAGCTCTGTTTAATTCAGAAAAGCTTCCATAGTGCATTTGATTTAGAAATATGGCATGATGATCATATTCATGTTAATGCAGATAATGAAGTCTCTATGTTGTTTCTTTGCGATCATCTGATGTGATCATACTGTGATGATTCACAATAACGAGGAAGGTTAGAGACATGATTCCAAAAAAAGTTGTTGGTAGATGTGTCTCCCACAAAGGTTTTTTGTTTTTGAGTAACACAGCCCATAAATTCTCATGTCATTCAGACCCAGGTACAGTATAGTATAACAGGGCAATAAAACAGAGATACAAGATCACAGATGAAAGGAAATGTGAGGCCAGTAAAATTATTTCTAATTATATTGTATGCTAGCAGTTCTAAAGCAAAGTTAAATAACAATATTGTCTTACTACCAGTCTGCACGAGAAACAAGCAGATTTTTTAAATAGTCTTCAAAAAGTCCAGACTCTTTTCTGTTAACACTATTGCTTCGTTGTCTTTTGACCCATCTGTAAATTTATAGTGAAACTGCAAATTTCAGCGCATTCAGAACTAAAATGTGAAACTCTGGGCACTTTTGCGTTGAGACTGTATTGATCAGATTTGTAAGGATTTTAAAAGCAACTGCTCCATTGAGCCATTCAATGTAATAGCTCCTGGTTTATATGTCTGCATATTTCTCTCATCCATAAAATGTTCAGGAGAAGGCATTTAAGGGGAATATCTACCTAGCCTGGAATTTCTTCTTCCCAGCGAAAGTCCGCAGATCCATTCCAATGGGTCTTGTACCTGCTTGCAGCTTCTTGGAGACAGATACATGACCCATCAGTCATGTCAAGTTAGGAGTGGCCCCACTATTGAGAATGGATACAGAACTGGTTAAAGGGGAGACTACAATGGGCCATACTGAGGACGTTTACTAGTGGAGTCTTGGAACCAATTTTATTTAGATAGCTCTGCTTCCAGTGCAGCATGTCTGGGCTGGGCTGGCACAGCAACTGGCTAAGCACAAAATGGATGGGACCAGGAGAGAGGTGTTTACAGCCCAAGGTCTATGAGTAGAGTCGGAGGGTGGGTCCCCCTAGCCATCACTGGACCTGTTTGCATTCAGAATTCAGTGAAATTACTCATGTCTTATTCCAGATGAAGAGAACAATAGGTCACAGCTTCAGTCATGCTCTGTCTTCCATGGCCAAAAGCACGATTGTTTCTTTCGGTTCACAATGTTCTCCAGTGCAATAATAAATTAAAAAATCAGAATCAAGGCAAGTGGCCTCATATTGTCCAAGAAGGTCCCAGTTCTTATATCCAATTCAGGTGGCCACCACTGCTCAGTGCTACCTCGTGTGCAAGAGGAATCCACTCTCAAGGACCAAAATTCCGCACACAAGCCCAGAGAAATTAAATCTAGCTACGTGATATTTGAGAGGTTCCTATTAAATTAGGGGATTTGGATATGTTCATAATACACCTGTATTCCACACGTGGCATCTTCGAGGGCCCAGTCTATAGGTAAGGCCCAGTGCTAAATCATTATCATGGGTATTTGCAGTCAAGGCAAAGGCAAACAATATATATACACACACACTTATTGTTATTGAAGGTCTTACAGTAAAGTCTTAATATGAGCCTAAATCAGACTCTAAAATCCAAGTGGTAGCTATTTCCAGCTCACCACCGGCAGCAAGCAGGAGCCAGATTGTCCTCTAATCCAGACATAAGCTTTCTAAGGTCTGCCTCGCTTTTCAACTGTACGTCAATAGAGCTCCACTTGGGGAGCTAACTCTTGTACCGAGTGCCCAGGTGAAGCACCCCTTTGATTCCCTGTCAGGAGTGTCCTGAGAATTTCTCTCTTTAAGGGATGTCATCCTGGTTGCAATTACTTGGGCAAGTATCTTTTTCAGTTGTGCAAGTCTTATCCGGGAACAGCAGAACTGCCTCTCGCGTGAGGGCAAAGTTTTGCTAAGAGTTAACGCAGCCTTTGTTCCAAAAATAAACCCAGTTATAAGAAATTGTTGTTTTTTTTTTCATCTTTTTTTTGTCCAT